GAGATCAAAAATGGAGAAAAGAGGCCAAATGTGTAAATTCCCAATGAAGCAGCCCCTCCAGCCCTTAGAATCAGAGAACTAGTTGGCCGCGGTTCTACCGCGACCGCAGCAAACGCGGTGGAAAGCAGCTGCAGAACTTCAGTGATTCCGCGAGGGTGATTGGTCGCGGTTCTACCCGCCAGCAACGCGGCAGGCGCAGAAAGTTCAGGGTCAAAGTGTCAATACGGGATTTTTAGACCTAAACCCTATTAAAACATTAGACTTCGCCCAAGAAGAGGCATGTATTGATTTTTTAGTTTCTTAGCAAGGGAAACCATTGTGAGAGAATACTCTAAAACATCTTTTCTCTTTTCTTTTGATTTTTATGATGAATTCAATCTTAGTTTATTTTCCCATAGCCATGAGTAGCTAAATTCCTTGTCTAAGGTTTTGATGGAACCTATTGTGGTGTGACTTCTTGTTTATGTGAATACAAATTGCAGTTTAATCTCTATTGTTCAACTTCGTGTCTTTTGTAGTAATTGACAGAGATCCTCATATTAGCTATGGTATTTAGTGTGCATATCTTGGAAAAGAGTGCATATTTAGGGTATTGTTGAACAAACACCACTCCTAGATTATTAGAGAATCTATTAATTGCGGGTTTAAAGGCGGGATTAGGATAACAAGCCTTGTGGTGTAATCTAAAGTGGATCGTGCTAAATAAAGTAAGCTAGTGTATCTCGGGAGAGTGCAATAGTAAATTACTGTGATTACTCGGGAGAGATTTACAGTAAGATTAGCGTTCATAATTGATAGAGATGTGTTGGTAAATTTGTATGAGCATAAACAAAAGGGATCCATCAATAAGGGAAATCATTGCCTTAGCTTTTCCTCATAATTGTTTACAACCTTATTAGTTTAGTTTACAAGCTATTTAGTTACTTGCAAGCTAGTTGTTAAAGAACACTCAACTAAGATTTGAATATTTGAGAAGCTGGTTCTGAAGAATTAGTGGGTCTGAAGATAGTGGTTGATAGGTTAACTCTCTGTGGATTCACGACCTGGGCGTAATACTCGGATTATATTTGCAACGTCCGCAGAGTCCTTTTTATAAGGCATAGTTGGGCGTGACCACTCCACATCAAAACTGTTAAAGACATGTTGCATTTCTGTATTGAATACCTTGATTGCCACAACCTTTCCATCTGCGAGTGTCCCTCTTTGTACACGAATCCAAGGCTCTCCCTCCCAATCAAGTTTGCTTTATCAAAGTTGTTTGTCCCTTGAGCATCAAAGTTGATGGAATAACCGGAAATTAGCGAATTGGAATCTAAGTAGGCAAAGATTTCCCAAGCAACTTGGTATTTAGGGATGGCAATTCTTACCAAAGCAACTTGGTGGCGTCGGGAGGCGGAGGTGAACAAGGAGGAAGGGGGGGGGGGGGGGGGATTTGAGCATTTGCGGGTGCGGCGCAGGGCGATGCAGGTTGAACCATTATTATTTAAAATTCAGGCGAGTGTGGAGTGGTTTCATGTTGAGGTCATGAATTGACTACATATTGCCGTGAAACATTGCAGACTCGTCCTAAATCCATTTATTTTGTTGTTTTGTCCTGCGTTATAAAGAACACCAACTCATTTACTTTATTGGAGATTCATAATCTAATCTTTTATTGTTTTGTTTTAAAATTCCATTTCTTTTCTTGTTTTATACCGAGATCAAGCAATAAATAATAACAACTTTCCTCTGTCTTCGTATATATTCTTCCTTCGTCTTCCTTTTTTTTTTGATTTCTTGTATTCAAATAAGGATAAAAGATTTCCTTTTTCGAGTCAAAGGATATTTTAACCGTGAATGGGTCTTTATATAATTAAGCAGTAATATATATCAACAAATTGATAGTGAAATATCAAAGCCTTGTAGTAGCTATCATATATATGACCATTTTAGTTATCTGGAAAAGATGGATAGCGCCGAAGGTATGCCAAGGCAGTTATGACGATTGACGTGACCAAAAATATGACTTGCGATATTGTCAGGAAGATAAATCGTGGCGCATTAAATATTATTATGCAACATTTTTCAGCTTATATGTCCATGATATGAGACATTTAAAGTTACACAGAAAATGAAAAAGAAAATATCTATATATATTGAAGAAAAGGATGTTGTTTTACGTCAATCTATTTTTTGGTGCAGAGACTTGGTCACTAAAAAGCTAACAATTTCTTTTAAATAAAAAACTTAAGCGGGGTGGGACTGGTGGATGCGGGTGTAGGTGCGAGGCAGGTGAATGCAGGTCCAAATACTATGCGGAGTGGGGTGGGTTGAGATTTTGCGGGTTAAGACAACCCCCTTCCCCCTACCCCTACCCCCCCCCCTCCAAATAAATAAATTAGGATCTCTTATCTCCCACCCGAGAATAGGGATGGCAAATGGGGCGGTGCGGGTGCAGGGCGGATTTAAGGCTATGCGGGACGGGACGGGACGGGACGAGTTTAAAGCTATGCGGTGCGGGGCGGTGCAGAGCGAGTTGAGATTATTTTTTAAAAGACTGATGCGGTGCGGGGCGGAATGCGGTCTAGGCGGGTTTGCATAAGTTTTCAAGATTTGGCCTATTGTACAAGTTATCCAGTGCGGAAAACCTTAAAGACCAGTCTATTTAAATATTTGGTAATTCATAGAAACAAAAATAAATCATTTTGTAATTTTTTTTTCAAATACACCTTTTAGTGAAATGTTAATTAAGTTAGAAATTTTGAAAAAAAGGAAAAAATTAGACATTTTAGGGAATATAAAATGTTGTTCAGACAAATATTTTTATGATTAAATTATTAACGTTTGTCACTTAAAAATCATCTAATGAAAGTTCGTTACACAAATATTACTATTTTAGTTTTTGTCACTTAAAAATCATACAACTAAATCCTGAATTTATAGTTATATTAAACTAAACTTCATTTTTGTTTCGAAATTATAAGCATACAACATACTAGCGGCCAACCAGAATTGTGGAAGTTTGTCGTTCAAGTTTTTGTCATTCTCAGTATTCCTGACTCTCTCTTTTTCATACAAAATGAGGGAATCCTCAATTCTAATTGAACAAATTTAGTCCATAGCAACAAAAGAGCTTTTCATTTTTTGGTTGATGAAATTGAAAATCCTGCAAAAAATAAATTAAGAAAAACTAGGAAAATGAAAAAAAAATAACTTTGCAGGGCGGGTGGATGCGTGTGCAATTGCTATGCGGTGCGGGGCAAGGCAGGGCGGGTTGAAACCTTCGCGGGTTTAGGTGGATTTGCCCCGCAACCGCACCGCACCATTTGCCATCCCTACCCGAGAATACAGCTTATTCAAACATTCCGACATTCCAAATTAAAAGAACTATAACTCTTACAATGGTATGCCTGATTGATAACTTCACTGGCTACAGATTGATTGCAACTGCTACCTCATGCCACCCAACTAGCACCCAGAAAATATTCACCCCATCATCTGATCAGTCGGTCATCTTAAAGAATTCTAAGTAGCCATCACAATTTGGAAAACTGACACTTTCCTAAGCTAAATGCCAAAGCATGCAGACACAACAGGGAAATAGTACATGATATTATGGTAAACCATCAAAAGACGAGTCCGGAACCCAATTATTGTTTTTTTGGACTCAAAGTACATTAATAAGTGTAAAAAAAAAAATTACCTTTCTATATATAACGTCCAAATACAAGACGCTATACCTTAACGGTAACTTTTGCCGTTAAAGTATAGCGTCTTGTATTTGGACGCTATATAGCCTGGCGATTTGACTGACATATATAGCGTTCTTAATTTATACGCTATACATATAGCGTACAAAAAAAACGCTATACCTGTTGATCTGCTGGCAGAAGGAACGTGGTCTTTGTAATTGAAGCGTCAAAATAAAAATTGAAGCCAACATTAAAGGACTGCGTATATATTTGGCCTTATGTATAGCGTTTTTTTTAATAGGAATTGGGTGGTCTTTGTTGCTCATATTGATCATGCTTCATTCCCTCACTTGATTTCTAGTTAGTTTTTTTTTAGTTTTTTTTTTCCATTCTTTTTTTGTGCTTTGTTTCTTAAAAAAAGTTTGATTAATGGAAAAATTGATCAAAANTATATATATATATATTGTCTTCCCACCTCATTAAAATTGACAGAAAACGTTACTCACATTCTCTAATGAAAACTGTCACATACATTTCTTACTTTATAGAAGACACATACATATATTACAAATAAGTAAAAGCGTTAAACACCGTAAGAAGAGAAGTACACTGCGTAAAGTTTGATGCTATTGTATAGCGTTTTTTTTGTACGCTATATGTATAGCGTATAAATTAAGAACGCTATATAAGTTAGTCAAATCGTCAGGTTATATAGCGTCCAAATACAAGACGCTATACCTTAACGGCAAAAGTTACCGTTAAGATATAGCGTCTTGTATTTGGACGTTATATATAGAAAGGTAACTCTTTTTTTTACACGTATTAATGTACTTTTGAGTCCAAAAAAACAACAATTGGGTTCCGGACTCTCAAAAGACTTGCATGATCTCACAAACAAAACAAAATTCTTGAATAAAGAGAAAAGCTTAAGTTCCTGAAAATGATTGTTTCATAAACTTCATCACTGAGTCACCAGAAAACTGATAATTCTTTACAGGCTACACGACAGTTCTAATTGGTTATTTCTTCTCTGCTTTAGCTGCTCTCTTCAACCTGGCTCCAATGTGTCGTGCATTTGTACACTCGATAAGCAGCTTGCCATAGGCATTGAATGATTTCAATAGCTAGCTGCTCCCTAGTAATTATGCATGTATGGACCCTGGACCTGGGTGCAGATGCGGATTCAGAATTTAAACTCTATGGGTTCAACTTTTAAGGGTTTAACATTGAACCTATTATATTTTTAAATTTATGGGTTTGTATCTACTATTTTCGCAATTTTAACGAATTTTTATACATAAATTCTTACTCCGTGCTGAAAGTTATGGGTTCAGTTGAACCCGTCATTAACAGACTACATCCGCCTCTGCCTGGGTGGCAGTAGCAAGTTCCTCTGCACTAAAATCACCAGCCTGCAAGAGAGAGTTCAAGGTAAATTTGCATAATGTGTTCAGATACCAAAGCAGGAATTCTGAACTAGCAGGGCAAAGAATAATTATTTTCAAATTTACCTTGACTTTCTTAGCACGACTTGGAAAGATGACAAGCTTAGCCTTGTAAGTCTTGAGCCTCTGGACATTGGTTTGGAGACCTTGTAAGGATCTATTCCTGTGGCGATGATTAACAGCAATGCCAATGGTTGGTGCTAGTTTCTTGGGAACACCAGATGCCTGAAATCCAAAGCTACTTATTAATGGGGATATCAATCGTACAAGTGCTTCAAAATAATAGGCAGTTTAAATAAAAGTATCTGGACAACAAAGAACATGACTAACAAATAGAATTTCCATTTGTACTCGATGGCATGGCTTTTGTTCTTTTCTATGGGGGACAGGGTGGTGAAGAGGAGTAAATGACATTCGACAAGTAACTAGAATCTCACTTTCAGTTCTTCAAGAGAAAATCCCCTCCCAGCATGGACTTTCATGTTGTATTCAAGTGTTTGTCCATGAACAATAGGTCGAAGTGATCCCGCAGTTGGCCTAGGGAAGATCTTCACACCCTTCTGCTGCATAGCTGAAGACAACAGAACAAAGACAGGTAGGAAAATGTTAATACTGTTCAACAAAAATTGAATTTTAAAAAAGAAAAGAATCATGCCAAGTAGTCCAACAAAATGGTAGCTTACCAGCACGTCTCCTTGTTTTCCTAGCTGGTTGGTTGAACCAAGTCCTTACATAGTTTTGCCAATGCTTCTTGAAGTGCCCGTTGGGTATAACGTTGTTGTGATTCAAGTCTTACCTGAAATTGAACAGAAATGGAATATCTCAAACAAACATCACAAAGCTAGCTGCTCTTCTGAACTAACTAGCATAAAACTCTCACTTGTCTTTACACTTTGTACTTTTGTGAACTTTGATTTTGTATTACCACAACAACATACCCAGTATATTTACACATGTGGGGTCTGTGGAGGGTAGTATGTACGCAGACCTTACCTATACCTAGTGAAGGTAGAGAGGCTGTTTCCAATAGACCCTCGGCTCAAAAAGGTAGGGAGGAGGAGGAGGAGAAGAATAAGCAGAGGGAGAATACGATAACTGAAACAAACTTTGATTTTGTATTGTTCAAAGAAAATTAAACTTTAATGAAAATCTAATCAACTCATAACAAACAATCACTAATAACAGTTCATAAATGTGCAAGTCTAAATATTCAAACATGTTCTCTTCGTCATCACTAAATAGTAAATACTATTCATATGGCATTACACATCTCTTTAACAGCCTCTTTCACAAGAATAGGCATTCACATATAGTTGATCTTTTTCAAGTTCTTTTGTTATTTTCTCCATGAAATGCATTAACTTCACTTTGGAGAGATTCTAAACATGCCCTTCTACTTACACAATTTTCTACCAAGAATTAAGTTCAGAATAAAACACAATCCACTGTCGGCTGGTAGTAAAAGTTCCATTTTTGATAGCACAAACTAGGCAACAGCCGGGAAAAGCCACCCAAACCAAACCAAACCAAAAAAAACGTTAGCTTCCCAAATCTAAAGGTCAGATTTATACAAACTATAGGTCACATAAATCAAGAAAAATATCTAATCAGGTTTTAAGATACTGTATAAAAAAGGAGATATAGTCCAATAACACCTCCAAATTCCTCCTACAATTGAACAAAGACTTCGCAAAACACCCCGATTCAACATCTATTAAATTGTGCAAGCTTATTAAGGCATAACTATAAGCAAATCGTACTATATCATAACTAACAGAACCGAGACACTACAAATAAACACAAATAAATCCAAAATTCTCAGTTAACAAATACTCTAAAAGGGTCTGAACAGACGACGATTCAGAAAATCTTTCAAAAACAACTTCATACCAATAGTACAAACAAAAGCCTATTCGCTATTTGACATTGTGGATAATCCATATTACATCAGATGCACTGTTAACTGATATTCGGAAACAGCCTCTCTACCCCCTCTCTACCCATCGGGAAAGGGGTAAGGTCTGCGTACACACTACCCTGGGATTTCACTGGGTTGTTGTTGTTGTTGTTGTTGCACTGTAAATTGATAAGCAGGAAGCAGCCTACTCCATGTACTGACAGCTAAAGGCCTCCAAAACCAGCAGGGACTATTTATTTAAGTAGAAAGGATTTCATTCTCTGTAAACATTTAAGACTAAATAACTCATCGCATTCCAAATCACCGCACATATTGATCATCCAATTAGCAATTAGATGCGCCGCTTCTTTGGAAGGCGGCATCCATTATGGGGACGTCGTGTTGTGTCCTCAATGAATACCACAGGATTCTTATCTCCACGAGAATGAGTATAGCCCTCTCTGAAGCTTAGAATTGCTTGTTTCTTTTTCTTAAAGAAAGTAAAGCCATTTACTTTCATGACCACTGACCTCAAGCCCCGGTCTCTGGCTTCACGCCCAACATGTTCTGCAGTTGATTCAGCAGCATATCTTGCAATTTTTGTTCCTTTTCCTGTTATCTTACCTGCAGTAGCCCCAAACTTTTTGTTCCCTTTTGAATCCGTCACAGTAACAAAGGCGTTGTTGCGAAGAACCTTTATATGAACAATATCAGCATCCTGCTCGACATGATACCTAGAAAGTGGAGCACCACCCAGAATACCCCTCGTATTGTCCTCCGTAAGTCCTCTAACAAAGTCCATTGGTCTAGAATTGTTTCCCATCTCAGCTTCCTTTGGGCTTTCAGAATGTATGAAACACCTCCTCCCAGCATTATATGGTGAATAAACATTCATTCCCAAGACTGAGTGCTGATTACTGCATATTTTGCTTTCAGTCTTCCCTTGAATACCTGCAGAAAAATGAACCATTGAGCCAAAAGTTCAAGAATTACTGCTTATCTAAGACCAGAATAAGAGACAAGGGCATATGCATGCCAGGTATACACAATACAGTTTTGCAGATGCATATTAAGAAGCTGGAAAAAACCAAGAGAGATTCCTGGATCTACTAAATACAAGTGAGTTAGACATTGTAATAGATTCAAACACATCTACACAATTACAAATCACAAGGTTCTACCACTGCTGGATACAATTACCTTTCTATTACTCAAGCCGTTAGTAATGGAGACCGAGACCCTAATTGTAAAATCCACAAGTTCTGCTCCACCTCCTTAGAAGTTCCCTTATAAGGTTGATGGAAGCATTTTTCTTTCTCCCACGCTTGGAAGAGTAACAGAAAAATCCAACAGGACAGGGAAAACCAATAGAGCAACAAGTAAGAGAGTCAATTTCAACAAGTTCCCCTGATGGAAAGATTTGACAAAATACTATGTGGGCAACCAACAAGAAAACTTATTATTTGAAATGATTTTTTTTTAAAAAAAAGAAAGAGAAACAGAAGGAAGGATTATCCTTAATGTTTTTATTTCTCTTACCTACCAAAGCAACAAAACAAATAAAGCGAAATCACGGCAGGTTATCGTTGGGGTCTCTAAATGTTTTTTTACATGTTCTTATATGGAAAAACTACTCTAGATGGTCTCGTGTCTTCCTTGCAGGACTTCTGTATCTCTTTATAATCCATATATTGATAGAAAGAGATGAAACACAAAAAACACTAGTCTTCTATTCTTTTTCTTTTTTTGAGAATGTAAGTAGCTTGTAAATTGAAAAGGAGAAATTGCCTAACACCAAGCTGGTGCTAAGTCTCTACAAGTTATCAGGAGGCCTTCCACACAAAACGAAAAGGAAGGAATTCTGCAGTGACAAAACTATGCTTGCAGGGAATCAATGAAATCTAACATACTTTCCCTCATATGTATGTTATCTTTTATCTTTGTACCCCTAAACTATCAAGCGCTCAGCTGAACTCTTCCATTTACTTGGATCAAAATTTATGATTTATCCATAACATTTGAAAAAATTCAAAAATCTGCAAGCAAAAAAAAAAACCAACTATCATCTTCCATTTTGATAGTCCAATTTAATAAATTTAACTTTTGAGTTCTGCCCCCTTTATACTATCTTTTGATCCTCCTCAGGCTGTAGCTTTGAGAAGTCTTTGTTATCAAAGAGAATATGAAAAGGTTAATCTACAATGCTATCTCTAATCCTCTGATATAATTTTAATAAAAGTCCGCATGGAGAAGCTTTCACTCTTCGACTGAGATTCAATAACCGAAAAGGTAATGCCTTACCCTACAACTTTGAGACTATCAAAGCACATCATTCAACTTATATCAAGCATAAGTTTTGATCTTTACGGTATTTATAAAACCATTTAAGTACTATTCACTAAAGGTAAAAGATTTTAAGCTCGCAACCATGGAAAGATATTTGTAATAGTTCAAAATAAACTCCAAATATGCACACTTTCAATAACAAAGATATGCAACTTAATGAAGACAAGTACGAATCATTTAATAGTACCCACCATAATTTGGAAACGCAGAAAAGGTCCTGAAAGCTTGAGGATGATGAGAAGAATGTAATCTGAAAGCATTGGCAGCCCATAAGACACTGCGTATAAGTTTCATCTTGCCTGTAACACTAAGCAAATCACTTCACCTTAGCATTTATTTTGACCCCAAAAAAAAAACCAGTTTAGTACACACAATAAAAATGAAAATTAAATTTCAGTCAAAATCTAATCAAGTCATAACAAACAACCACTCATAAGAATCCATAGATGTGCAAAATCTAAATATTCAAACATGTGCTCTATGTCATCACTAAATACTATTCATCTGGCATTACACATCTCTTAACGGTCTCTTTCACAAGAATAGACATTCACATATAGTTGATCATTTTCAAGTTCTTTTGTTATTTTCTCCATGAAATACATTAACTTCACTTTGGAGAGATTTTAAACATGCCCTTCTACTTACACAATTTTCTACCAAGAATGACAACAGCAACAACAACAACCCAGTAAAATCCCACTATTGGGGTCTGGAGAGGGTAGTGTGTACGCAGCCTTACCCCTACCCCGAAGGAGTATAGAGGCTGTTTCCGAAAGACCCTCGACTCAAGAAAACAAAAAGACAAAAGGAGACAATATTAGTATCAGCAAAGAAATCATATGAAAAACAGGAACAACATAAAATTCAGAAGAAAGATGCAAAGCAAAAGCGATAGCTAGTAAATAGTTCCTGTGCTGAAAAGTGAAATAGTAAGACACAACATTGCCGCTAACTATCTTAGACAAAAACCCTACCAGACTGGTCTCGCAATGGTACAAAGAGCCCGTTTGGATGGTCTTATTTTAAGTGACTTTTAAGCGAAAATAGCTTTTAAGCCATAAGTTAGGAATTCTAGCTTTTGGCTTTTGGCTTGTTTTTGTCATTTTAGCTTATAAACAAATGCTTAAAAACATTTTTTTACTCTATCCAAACACTACAAAATGGCTTAAAAGTTATTTTGGCTTAAAAGCACTTAAAATAAGCCAATCCAAACGGGCACAAAGAAAGGAATACTCGACCTTCACATCTCCCTATCCAGTAAAATTTCCATTTATGAAAGCACAAACTAGTCAACAACCGGGAAAAGGCACTCAAACCAAATCAAACCAAAAAAAAAAAAAAGTACCGTTAGATTCCAAAAATGTAAAGGTCAGATTTATACCAACTATAGGTCACATAAATCAAAAAAATATCTAACCAGATTTTCAGATACTGTATTCAAAAAAAAGGAATATAGTCCAATCACACCTCCAATTTCCTCCTACAATTGAACAAACACTTGGGAAAACACCCTGATTTCAACATTTATTCAAAAGGCAAAACCATAAGCAAATCGTACTATACCATAACTAACAAAACCGAGACACTACAAATAAACGCAAATAAATCGGAAATTCTCAGTTAACGTTCAACTCTAAACGGGTCTGAAAACCCCCCAGAAAAGATTAGGTTCATTAACCGAGACACATTTTCATATCAAACTCATGTGCAAATACAAATTCAGTACCACATAGCTTACAGATACAACTGAGGAAAATAACGAGCATTAATAGGATTGAAAATGAATTAGATTATTCATAAACCTTGGGGATTTTTCTAGGAGAAAGAATGAGAGGTACCTGGTTAGCTAGTGCTTCTGGAGGCTATGGAATTACCAAGGCGAAGAAAGCGGTTTGTTCTTTGAGATTTCCGAATGGGCTGTTAAATGGGCCAGATCACTGCCAAAACACGGTATAGCCAGTTTTCATACTGGTCAATCAAAAATAGCCAGCGTTTACCAAGTCAATGAAAAATAGCCACCGTTTTGCTGCAATAGAGACCGGTCCAGCATAATATACTGGAGTTCGGTGCACTTGTGTATGAACTCCAGCATATTATGCTGGACCGGTATACTTTGCTGGCTCCAGTATAACATACTGGAGACTGGAGCACTGATGCTCCAAACTCCAGTATATTATACTGGACCATTATACTTGCTGGAACTCCAATATATTATGCTGGAGTTTTAGTGTATTTATGCTGGAACTCCATATTATGCTGGAGTTCCAGCATACTATCCTGGAACTCCAGTATAATATGCTGGAGTTCAAGTATACTTATGCTGGAACTCCAGCATAATATACTGGAGTATTTTCCGGGTTTTGAACAGTGTTTTCGCTCAGATTTATCTTTACATAAAAAGTGGCTAAATTTCGATTACTTTTGAAATTGGGCTATTTTTGAACGACCAATTGTAAATCTGGCTATTTTTAAAAATCACCTGTTCGACTTACAGTTTTCTTACGGGAGAAATTCAAAAATAGCCAGATTTACCACTGGTCATTGAAAAATAGCCAAGTTTCAAAAGTTATCGAAATTTAGCCACTTTAAATCTGAGCGAAAACACTGTTCAAAATCCGGAAAAATACGCCCGCAAATTTTACAGGAGTTAGCAAAGTATACCGGTCCAGCATAATATGCTGGAGTTCGTACGCAAATGCACCAGAACTCCCGTATATTATACTGGACCGGTCCCTGTTGCAGCAAAATAGTGGCTATTTTTCATTGACTTGATAAATGCTGGCTTTTTTTCATTGACCAGTGTGAAAATTGGCTATACCATGATATTTTAACAAAATGATTGAATAAAGCCCGGTACTATAAATAAATAAAAAGAATAGTGCGAACACAACAATAATCGCTAACCGCCTAGGAATACTCAACCATGAGAAAAGAAGAAAATAAAAATCTCGTACATTTCGTATGCATATATCAAAACCTTAAAGAACAGGACAAAGAACAGCACTAATGTATTACTTACATAGTAAAAATTTCCTAGTATACATCTGTGATATCCATGTACAATATAAAGATAAAAAGAAAAGTTAAAAAAACAATCGTATATCAAACTAGTAGCTACAAAACCTATCATGACCTAGCGATCAATGAACTGGACAAAAAATATTTGTGGACGGACAAATTACCAGATATACGAGCTAGTCGAGATGCAGACAAGCTGAATAGTCAACACAGTTATAACAAAAATTAATTGTGTAGAGGGTTTGGTCCTCCGGGGACAGTTCGATGTGAAACTCTATAGCTTTGATCAATATCTTCTTTTCTTGATGTTCTAGGAGCTGGTGCAGAAATATGCCATGAAAATCTTGAATCTAACTTTGTGTTGAATCTTTGTTCTATGCTTGTTGGGGTGAATTCTTGTATTTTTCTACAGCTTGATAATTGGGTACTAACAGAGAGCATCACCATAATTAGCAGAAATGGAAAAGCAGGGCAATGAACTCTCATGACTATAAAAATAGAAAGAAGAAGAAGAAGAAAGAAATATAGGAAATGGAGAGAGTAAAATTAGGCAGGTGGATTGGATTTTGAGCTTATTCACTTTTTGCAGAAGTGATGACTAGTCTCTATTAATATGTGTTGAAAAATCTGTGGTGCAGATAAGAACCAGAAAAAACTAACATTGTCTTCTATAAAATGACATATATACCCTCATTAGTTTTCCTTTCTCATTTCTTAGGACCCGTTTGGTCATAAATTTTATTTTATTTTTTTCATAAATGGTTTGGCCATAAATTTTATTTTACTTTTTTCAGAAATGGTATTTAGCCATGAAAATTTTAAATTTCACTTGAAGTTGAATTTCGGAATTTATCGAAATTTGAAAAACTCCAAAAAGCTATTTTTAAAATTTATTTATTTCAGAGAACTCACAAAAATTCAAAAACAACTCCAAGTTGTATTCATGTTCAAACACAACTCTAATTTTCAAATTCCACTTATTTTTTCCCCCGGAATTTCACAATTCTTATGTCCAAACGCCTTACTTAAATAGTTTAAGTAAAGTCTAGTGTGTATATAAATACACTTGTTCAAAATAGTAAAATTAGTGAAAGGAGAATCATAAAAATCAAAGGGTGTCTTTTAACTTTGATGAGAAAACTAGAAAAGGGTTTGGAAACAAGTACTTGCAAATGCAAATTTAAGTTTTTAAATTAAACATTATATATACAATATAATCTTCGATGAAATGGGTTCAGATGAATCCCTTCCGCCCCTCTAACTTCGTCTCCGTAATGTTTAAAGGCTAAAATAGTCATTTTAGGTAGATGGAATAGCAGTGTGAATAAAGATGTTGCTTGGATGTAATGAAGAGTTGACAAGAATTTATTTGCCCATTCATTAAATAGTGAAAATAAACGGTGTTATATTTTTTTAATTGTTGGTTGGACTTTAAGAGGTTTTCAGGAGTCCCATCTTAGAGGCACGTGGTGCAAGTGCAAAGCCAGCAATTGTCTCATGTTCTTGCCGTCCTTCTAGTAATTTCAAACTTTTCTTTTTTATTTCCCTCCGTTTTTTCTTTTTTGACGTCCTGAATATAAATGAAAATGTCAAAAAAAAAAAAATTAAAAAAATGCCATTTTACGTTCCCATTTATGACTAACAAGAAGAAGGCGGAAAAAAAATAAAAAAAATCTTGTTTTCGATTTGTAGATGTGGTCTTCTTTGTTCTTTTATTTATAAATCCGATTTTATTCAATGGTAAAGTCGTTTAACTTTCGTTATAAATTAATTCTACTTATTATGTACAGAATAGTAAAGTCTAAACTATTAATTTAAAGTTATTAGTAGATATTGTATAGTAATTAATTTGAAAGAATGAGACCGAATAGGATTTGTCAATGTCGTTTTCGCAGGATATTGCGTGTTTAGGAAAATAGGAAATCCTTATGAAAAGATTATGGTTAGGTTTTTCTTTTTTGTCAATTTCCTAAATGTCGCGAAATTCAAAATATTTAAGTATATAAAATTTGCAAGAGGACTTTGGTTTCTAACATGACGTAGGGCTTTGGGCTCCTTTGGACTTTGTCCATAATCAAATTATATATATATTTTTTCTGTTTTTTATTTTTGGAAGAAGAATTTTAGAGCAATAGTTAGGATGTTTTTATGTGATCTATAGGTCATCGGTTTGAACAGTGAAGTCAGTCACACCAATAAGGTAAAAGTTTAAATAATCGACCAACTGAATGCGCAATGTTTCATGCACCAAATTACCTTTTTACTTTTTCTTTTGGTAATCAACTCATTAAAAAATGGTTATTTAGATGCACATAAATTCATTGAAGTGATAAATGATCTGAATCACTCAACAAACTCCTGCAAGGTTCCAATTGAAGTTCAAGGTGGAGCTTTAAAAAGGGACAAGTTCCCAAGTGAGATGTGGGAGATATTTTTTAGATTTTCAAACTATGAAATAACAAAAAAGATGAAAACGAAAACTTAAGAGCTTCTTGTTCTTGACCAGTAAAATATTTTCCTTTGAAAATCTAATCTCCATATTCTCAATTGACAAAGAAACAATATTACTCAATTTTTTCTGTTTATTTAACTAGTTAACTGTTTGTATTTTTTTATTTACATTATTTATCGGGCGAAGTTTAAAAATAGCCATTATTGATAATTGAAAAATAGTTAAATGTTCAAAAGTTTTTGAATTTAGTCAATTTTTAGAATTCGTGATAGTGTTAAAAGTTTCAAAAATCAAGGTAGTATCCTGCCTTTTTACTTGTTTAAGTTCGAAATTCATGACACCGTTAGTGTTATCTGATTAAAAATGGTTACTTTCAATGAATGACTACCTTTTAGAAACTAGTTCAAAAAGTGGATAGCATGTATAATTTTACTACACGACAATGTAGGATACCTAGTGGGCGTTTGGACATAAGAATTGTAAAATTTCAAAAAAGAAAAAGAAAAAGAAAATGGTATTTGAAAATTTAAAATTATAATTGGATATGAATATAATTTTGAGTTATTTTTGAAGTTTTGTGAGTGATTTGAGGGAAAATTTTGAAAAACAAATTTTCAAATTTTTAAAAAATTCTAAAATTCATCTTGAAGTGAAAATTAGAAATTTTATGGCAAAACATTAATTTCGAAAAAAGTAAAAAAATTTCGAAAAAAGTGAAAATTCTTATGTCCCAATGGGCTCCTGGTGCTACTATTGATTTTTTGATCCAGCAATAGAAGTTTTGAGAAAAAAGCCTCGTGTCAAAATTTTAAAATATGTTGGACAGGATTTTCCCTAGTCTTAAAGCACACTAGGTAAAATTTCAATAATTTTGGCAATTGTCAGGATTTTGTCTCAAATCCCGACGGATTACCAAAGTTTTACGACTGAAAGTTGTGACGATCGTTAAATAGTGCTTCAAAATTCTGACGCTGAAAATTGTGGTGATTGTCGAAATTTTTAGTGCTTCAAAATTCTGACGAGCGTTCAAAATTCTGACGCAAGACTATTTTCTCAAAAAATTTCCTAACAAGATCAAAATATAAACAATAATTGAAATGACACTAGAAGGATCACCAATCTCATCATGTCATGTGTCAGCTCCTCCACCATTTCTGTCATTGTTAATGGAGAGCAAACAAACCCTACCTCCTTGTCAGGTCAGATAGATGACTGACATATAGAGATGCTTTAAACATCATTTGCTGAAATCTTGTTCAAAGGGATTGGCAGTGCTTTTGTAAACATACTCATAGAGAAGAGAGAAGGTAAGATCGTGGTCTGACTCCAGCTCCATCTTGATGAGCAGCACCATCAAAGTACATCTTCCATGGTGGAAGAACTTCGACCACAAGCGCATCTTCATCAAGTCGCATAATTGGCTCGCGTAAAGGCAGAAGAAAGAAAGCCCGAACG